AGATGGTTCAGCAGCACCTCAAACAAGGACCCTGCATCACACCGCTCGACCGTCAGCAAAGTGAAAAACTCGCATGCAACTTGGCGGTTCTTCATATATGTAAGGTACACAATCATGTGTTTCCCTCGCGTGCGGTCAGTGCTCTCGTCGCACTGGATGCCCAGGAACGGTGATGCCAGGACGTGGTCCATCTGCACCGAGGTGAGGTAAGTGCTCATGCTGTGGACCATCTGCTGGAAGCCGTAGCTGCAATAAAGGACAGAGAAATTATCAGTACACGATAGTCAAGCTAGTTTTTTTACGTGCATGTTTAAATTTGCAATCAATTTGAACCGTCACTACCCGCGTGAGATAAACGTCGTACGACTGCCGGGGAATGTCTGGCGTGTCCTGCTCCGCAAGATGCCGCATTAGCTTAGGAAACATGCTAATCGGCCCGTCGCACTGGCACAGGAACTGAGTCGGCCGCATCAGCCGTATCGCGCGGCGGCCCTCGACGTCGGAGTTGATGAAGTCCGAAATCACCTGCTGCCCCTCGCGGATTCCCACCACAATCTTCATCTGGTGGTCCACCGCCGCCATGTGTGCGTCCGTATGCTCGTGCGCCCGGAACGAGTGCGTCTGCAAGTCACGGCCTCCGTCGTCTCCCTGCATGGCGTACCTCGTGTTCCCCTTACCGTACGACATGCAGATGCTGCACTTCACGTACGGGAAATCGTCCTTGCTTGTCTTATTTTGTTTTCCATACTGATCCCAGTTAGCTACCCATGGCGGTCTAGGATGCTGCCTTTGTTGTGAATGTCGTGCATTCTGTGCGTTTTCTTTTCCAAAGAGAGAAAGCAAAGACCGATCTAAGAGAACATTGACGCATCATAGATGCAAAAAATGGACTACCCATGCTCGCATCCCAGTGCATCTTCTCTCCCTACACACGAAACTTAAGGCCGCGCTCAGTATGTGGCAAACCTTTAGGGGACTCCTAAAGAGGGAAATTGAAGACCAATTTATGAACACATTGACGCATCAAATATGCAGAAGATGGACTGCTCATGCTCACAATCCAATGCGTCTCTCCCCTCACATACAGCTTAAGGCTGTGCTCAAGTATGTGGAAAACCTTTAGGGGACAGGGAAACGGAAGACCAATTTAAGAGCACATTGACTCATCAAAGACGCAAAAGATGGGCTACTCATGCTTGAAATTTATGCCTTTCACTACAACATGACCAAGGGCAGGTTCCCTTGTGACTTGTGCCAAACTGATTTTCACCGACCAGCCTGCACTACTTGAACTGTTCTGATGTTAGACTGCTTGAATCGTTTTGGTCCTCAGTGAGAAGGTATATGCCTGGAAAACCAGGCTGCTTCAATCCCGTGGCCCATGACAAACCCCACTACTGCTGCCGGACAAGGGCACAAGACACCCGACACATATTATTCCGCAATGTGTCAAACTGGGAGCTCAATTTTGCATTCAATAACAAGTACAGGCCTGAGCTGACAATTGAGTCAAGCAGAGCCAGCAACCCTGCTCTGCCGGCTGACCCCGAGTTATCGAGCTGGCCCGACGAGCGGAGACCTGGCTTGCCGGCCCGTTGAACTTATTCTTTCACCAGCCGGCCACAAGCTGGTCGAACTCAGCTGGCCCGAACTGGGCCAGAATATGCTTGACAATCTAGGCTGGTTGTCTGGCAGACCAAGATGGCCCTTGAGTCCTGTGAGATACATATAAACCTTGGATTGAGATGGTTGGAGCTCATTCATATATTTCCACCTTTTTTGAAACACGGGTCCAATATGACAATTGAGTCAAGACAAGCTGGCAATCCGAGTATCAACTGGCTGAAATCAAACCGATCTCGACAAGCCAAGACCCTCTCTTACCCAGATGAGAAATTCGAAGCAAATCCAAAGCTAAAATGCAAGATTCACCCGAAGCAGTAAAATACCAAAACCGTGTAAGCAATGCCTGCTTGTCTACAATGGACAAGCCACGAGCTTGGTCAGCTGCCCGACTGGCTCGTCAGCGCACCTGATCATGGCAATTTGAACCAAGCCAGCTCGTCTTAGACCTATGCTCGTGCCTAGTGTTGACGGAATAGGAGTGTTGGCCCCGCCCTCGCTTGGGCAACGTTGACGACTTGGTCCGATGTACGGGAGAAGCAGCCAACCGCTCACAATAGGAGAGCTGCTCAACCGTCTTCGTCGAGCTGCAGGGGACCGCTGTGGCGCTGCTGTCGGCCAGGGAGCTCGACAGCTGCAGCTGATTGGGCTAGGCGACGGGTGGGCCGTCGACCAGGACGGGCAGTTCGACCGGGAGGCCGACGCAGCTCTCCGTCGACCTCACAAGTGAGGAATGGTCGACGAGGGGAACACGACGTCAACCGCTCACAATTCTGGTCGACGGAAGGGGTCCGTTGACCAGGGGGTAGCTTGACAGGAGCTGTGGTCAACTAGAGGCACCTGGTGGTCGACCAGAGGCACCTGGTGGTTGACCGGAGGCACCTGGTGGTCGATCAGAGCAGTTGGTGGTCGACCTGGTAACCTACTTGACAAGTTCTGCGGAGGCACGCGAATGTCGTCGAGGTCGCGATGGCGAAGGCGACTTCGGGCTGGTAACCCGAAGTCGATGTGGCTCGTCAGGCGCAGACAACAGCCGATGGATGCACAACGAGGCGAGTCGCGCCAATCGTTTGCGCGCACCTGCGAGCGTATGCACTGCTGTCTTCTACGGGGCAACGCTGGACAGCCGCTCTGCTGCAGCGTTGGCACGCCGTCGACCTGCTATGTTGGCAGGTTGTCTTTCAGCAGTGCTGACACGGCAACCAGGCTAGCTGCAGAGTTGCTAGGTGCCTGATATAGTTATTGTTGTCATTGCTTGTTGAATCAATTATGTATTTTCGACTTTGCTAGTGGAAAATCTTGCCAATTTTTCCCGTGGATGTGCAAGCGCTAAAGAACTAAGGGAAGTTACAATCACTCCTAGTAGTTTGTGCCAACCTCCGTAGTCTAGCTCACTACTGTTGTAGAGTGACTTTCCGCACCTAGTGTTTCTTGCCTTCCCTGAACGCATTTCTTATGGTGAAAAAAGCTGATAGTGGCAAAATTGGTCCCTTCATCATGAGGCTTCCTAGGATTGTGGCAGACCAAGCTCGGTTCAACTCAAACAAACGAGCCATGGCTATCAAAGCGAGAATAATGCCCAGCGCAAACCCTCTCAATTCCATCTTGATAATGTCTAGCCATGTAGGCATAAACCATACTGGCCTAGTTTCAGCTCTTGCTCTCGTTAGTTTTGAAACTAATATGGTTCTCATATACTTCCTACCATACGCTGTGATGGGCCTCAATGAAAGCGGGGCTTGGGTCAAAAGCGGGCCAAAACGGCCCGACCCAGGCCGCACCTCGAGACTAGTTCCCCTGCTCGACGGGGAGAGGGAAGGAGCTGGCGGCCATCTCCATGCGATCGGGAGATGATGTGAAGCCGGTCCTTGACAAGATCAAGGACACATATGCGATGATGGCAGCGGCGGGCAGCGAGGTGCCGTAGATGCAGCAATGCACCAAGATCATCTCGGTGCTCGACAGCTCGTGGGACAACCTTATCCCCACCCTCAACGTTCAGCAAGACAAGTGGACGCCTAAGTGGCTTCAGCGTTGGGGTGGAGACGGGAACACGGAGGGGCAGGGTGACGGAGGTTGTCAGGCACAGAGGGGAGAGAAAAGGCCTGGTTGCTTTGAGACAACCCAAACCAAGCTTGCGCAGCAACATGCCGTCTGCTACTGCAACAGCAGCGCTACCTGTTTGACGAACACGACCTCTTCATTCGCTCGCGCAATAACGGAGCGAAACAAACAAAACCCACACGACTACTACAGCAAATGACGAATGATTCTTCCAGCATACCTTAAGCCTACTAACATGTTTGGAAAATCGAAATATGGTATAAGCGACCCGCGCCTGGTGACATGGTGAGCTCGCCGCTCATTCCGCGACCTACCTTACCGCGACCTAGAACTGTAAAGTGGTCGCTAGGCTAGTGATAAGGTAGATTTGACATACAGTCGACGGTTCAACAGAATGGGCCTCTAATAGCCATGATTGCTTCATCTGCCCTTCTTCCGTAACTTCTCTGATGTAATTTCGAAGGATAGTCGAAACCGGAACGTCACTTTGCTGGATACCGTATAAGCTGACTTAGCAATAGCACTAGTAACACTGCTCACCGCAATCCCTAATGTTTTCCATGCGATGGCAAGTCGAGCGAGGGTCACGTGCGTCGCTAGCTGCTCCGTGAGCGCCGAGAAATTCCGAATGGCCTACCAGTTGTAGCGCCACGCGTATTGAGAGAGGCGGCGTCACGAGCATCGCAGGCATTGCAGCGAGTCGAATGGCGTCAATTGACGATCAACGGAACCGTCAGCTTGCCTTTGCTGAGAATTTTCGAGTCATAATCGTTTCGATGCTGCTTGGGGGGATTGTGTTCCCCCCTCTTTGCTCCTCTTCCCATGCATGTTCCCCCTGCTTCGCACCAACGTTTGCTGTTTCATTCTGTGCTTTGTTGTGCGTTCCATTTCTTATGTACCCTGCTCTCCTCCTCCCCCTCCCCTTCTCCCTGTTTCCCCTTTCTTTCCCCTCCAATCCACCTGCCTTCCCGCCTCCTCATTTCTTCTCCCCACTCCCTCCCCCCTCCTTCATGCGACCTGCCATCCTCTCACGGGCCACGACAACCTGCTGGAGAGGATGGCAGGATTGCAGGATGGCAGGGCGACAGGGCGGCAGCCATGCACCACTCGCGTTTGCAGTGGGTCCGCGCAGCCATGTCGATCAGAAAACCATGTCGTCGCCTTAGCAACTGACCAGACGGCCTTAGCGTTCTGTCAAGTGGCCGTCGGCATTGCCTTCCTCATCGTCACTTTCAGCACTGGTGGGAGAATTGACTTCTCCCGACCTCCTCCTCTCCCCTGCTCTTCAAGGAAGCGCGTTCTCCCGCGGTTAGATGACTGACGCCTTCCTCGAGGTGGGTGAGAGGGTTGGGGAGAGGTGGGCGCGGGAGAGGGGAGTTGTGGGTGCGGGGATAGGGCTGGGGGGTAGTTGGGAAGGGGCTGGGAGATGGTTAGTCGTGGAGGGGGGTGGGGGTGGGGATGGGGGAGGGGGGGGAGGGGGGGGGGGGGGGGGTGAGGGGGCATGGAGAACGAAAGAGGGTGTTCCCGCGACGAGATCGGACGGCTTCCTCGAGGTGCGGGAAAGGGGCGGGGAAGGGGTGGGCGTGGGGGAGGGGAGATGTGGGGGCAGGGAGAGGGCTGGTGGCTGGGAGTGGGCTAGGAGAGGGGAGAGGGGGGGAACAAGAGGGGAGGGGGAGAGTAGGGAGAGGGGTGGAAGGCATGGACAAAGAAATCGGGTGCGTTCGCAACAAGATTGCAGACGCATTCCTCGAGGTGCGCCGCGGGAGAGGGGGGGAAGGAGGGGGGGGGGGGGGGGGGGGGGGGGGGAGGTGGGAGTGTTGGGTTGGTTGGTGATGAAAGTGAGAGGGTTGTGCAGCGAGGAGAAATGAGTGACGACGGGGATTGCTAGCAGTCGTTTTTCGCTCGAGTCCCAACCCAACCCCTCTCACTTCTCCACTCTCCGCCACCCGTGCTACATTTATCGCTCAAGTGTGCACACATTGTGCGACATCCCCAAACCTTGGTCTCCTTGCCTGTTCCCCTCTGCGCCATTCCCACTCTTTCCGCCTTCCTGAAGGTGCACCGGGGAAGATGTGTGAGGACTTGTGCCAGCAGTAGCAGACGGCATGTTGCTGCGCAAGCTTGGTTTGGGTTGTCTCAAAGCAACCAGGCCTTTTCTCTCCCCTCTGTGCCTGACAACCTCCGTCACCCTGCCCCTCCGTGTTCCCGTCTCCACCCCCCCCCCCCCCCCCCCCCCCCCCGCTGCAGGTGTGTGTGTGAGTGTGTGTGTGAGGGCTGTGTGCCAGCAGACTGCATGGTGTTGTGCAAGCTGGTGTCGAGTCGTCCCCTCCTCTCCCCCAACCCCCCCCCCCCCCCCCCCCCCCCCCCCCTCTTCTGCCCCCTTTCACCCCCGCCAAGTGTGTGAGGAGGACCATATACCAGCAGTAGCAGATCGCATGGTGCTGCGCAAGCTGGTTCCAAGTTGACCCCTCCTCCCACCTCTTCCCCCTTTCTCCCCCCGCCAGGTGTGTGAGGACGTGTACCAGCAGACCGCATCATGGTGCTGCGTAAGCTGGCGCAGGACATGCGCGAGTGGATACACCGGCGGGTGAGCCATGGGATAAGGGGTGATTGTTATGGGATGGTGCCGGTAAGCAATGGGGGGGGCCCGCGAGGAGGGGAGAAGGGGGATTAGAAAAGACGGAGGGATAAAGGGTGCTGGCACAAGACATGCGCGAGTGGCCGGCCTGCGGGTGGGCGAGAGGGGCAGAGAAGGGGGGGAGGGAATACGGGGGATATGGAAGGGTTAAGAGGCGATGGGGGGAAGAAGATGGCAAGGGTTCAGGAACGTGAGGTCTATGAAGCAGGATGTAGGGGCTCTCTCCTCTGCTCTTTGTCACCCCATTCTTCCCCTAACCCTCCCCCCCTCCCCTTGCACGCCTCTTTCCAACGCCTCTTCCCCACTCCTCTCGCCCACACCACTCCACCACACCTACTCCCCACTCCCTCTCTCCTACCCCTCTCCCCCACGCCTTTCCCCCACGCATTTTCCTCACCCCTCTCTCCCACCTCTTTCCCCCATGCATTTTCCTCACCCCCCTCTCCCCCCCCACCCCTTTCCCCCACGCATTTTGCTCACCCCATTCCCCCACCCACCCCCTTCCCCCACGCATTTCTCTCACCCCTCTCCCCCACCTCTTTCCCCCATGCATTTTCCTCACCCCCCTCTCCCCCCCCCATCCCTTTCCCCCTCGCATTTTGCTCACCCCTTTCCCCCACCCACCCCTTTCCCCCACGCAATTTCCTCACCCCTCTCCCCGTTCAAGAGGATGCTGATTTAAGAGTGAAGGTTGGAGAGTGCAGGAGGGTCTTGCTGCTGTAGTACAAAAGCCTGCCAGAAGTCTTGGGTTCCTATTGGGCTGCCAAGCACTTTGACGCCTCCATCGCCTAGAGGCGGGAGGCTGGTGATGTTGGCAGCCCCTCCGGCCGAGACCCAGTGGGTCACTTTGGCGGACACTTTTGGAGCTGAGAAGGGTGTGTGCAGGGTTCTGGCGCAGGAGCAAGTGGGGAGGGCTGCCTGTATGTGTTGATGATGTACGGTGAGGAACCTTGGAGAGCTGAGTTCCGTTGGGGTCTCCAATATGCCATGCGCCCAACGGAGTCTACAGGTTACCCGCAGCTGCTCGTCTCTGTTGCTGGTCTGTGTGTGCCCATCGCACCCAGCTTGCCAAGAAGACCTCTTTCTCTCAGAGCTCGAGGAAGGGCCCGCATGGTTCGGGCTCACACCATGATCACATCACATAACCACCTCAGTACCCCATGATCTCATCACCCCAAGATCGCATCTACCCCATGGCAGAGCACCGTGGCAGGGTGCACTAAGTGTGCTGAGTGCAGCCGTCACTCTCCCTTCCCCTTACACTTTCCCATTTCCACCCCTTTCTCCCTTTCCCTCCTGTAGCCCCTCCGATTCTCCATCCCGATTGCCATCCGCACCTCTCCAGGTGAACACAGTGCAGCAAGCAGCGTCCATCACACTGCTCCAATCCGCCTATCCTGCATCACCTCATTGCTCTCTCTTGCTCCCTCTCACCACCCTTCCCCCCTATCACCCACCAGTGTGCATAGTCCTGTCAGTAGCATCCACCCCCTGCCATCTCGACACCCACACATTGATCAGCAAGCCCTCATCTCTACACTGAGGTGAGTAGTGCGTTGTATCGAACCTGCTTCTACCGAAACGGGTCTCTCCTCTAATTTGTGATCTGGCTTGCTGCCACTGCCATTGGCAACTCATCATCTCTCGTGTCCACCCATCAATTTGGAGGAGTCAGTCTCATGATCTTATTGCTTCATCACACGTTCACCCCATCCACACAGCACCATCCCCATTACCCCATCAACCAATCAGACCATCACCTCTTCACCCAACCAGCTCTTTGCCTCATCATCCCATCACCCCATCACCCCATCCCATGATTGGTGGGGCGCATGGTGCAGGCCGGTGGCACGGGTTGGTGGTTTGCCGTCCACAAAAGTGAGGAGCTGCCCTTGATCTCCCCTACCTTTCCATTTTCCCTTCAATCCCAACAGTCCCTATTTTGCAGGCGCAGAGCCAACATCGCCAGCGTTAGAGCAGTGAGCTGTCTCAACAGTGGACTGGCTCATTCCAATTGGGCGCCTTTCCACCAGGCACTGAGCTCTGCTAGTTCTCAGCCTTCATCCTCCCTGCCTGCCCTGCCTTCCCTTCCTTCCCTTACCACCCTCGACCACCATTACCAACCCCTACTCTGCAGGCAGTACCCGGCAGGTGCAAGGCCAAGATCCCCACTCTCATCACCGTTGCCTTCATTGAAACCTTGGGGACCTCTGGCACTTGGCTTTGCCTCGTCCCACCCTTCGCCATCCTCGCCCTCGCAATAGAGAGCAGCTCATTGCTCAACGATGTTGATTTCTGATTTCCGCGATTTGTCATTGCGTGGATGCTGCTGAATGGAAGTCTGCTGCTGCTGCTCTCCAAGGGTGGCGGCATGATTTTGTCCTTCCTTGCCCATTGATCCCCATTTTGAGAGTGTCAAGTCGTTCTACTTCTAAACAGCAGCCGGCTAGTTATGTTGCCCAGGAGTGACGGCATGTTCCTGTTATTATTACCCACGGATCTCTCCGACATTTGACCATTTGGCATCAATGCAAGAACTTCTCTTTGGTGTACCGATGCAGGGAGGGGAAACAGATGAAGGTGAAATGGAACACAACTAGAGGGGATGGATCCTCGCCTGACTGCCTCTCACCGACGCAACCACCAACCCCACCAGCAACCGAGGGGAAAGGGTGGACTCGTTTGCAGCGGACCTGGCTGTATGCATCTGGTCAATCTGAGAAGCACTTGATATAATTGGTAACTTCATTCAAACTAGCCCAATTTTGCATATTTGGCAAGTAAGCAGTGCAGATATAACTTGGGACAAACAGAGAAAAAAGGGTATCACTTTTTGAACTTAAAAAGGTCCTCTTTAGTCCAGGGGGACTCACTTTCCGGTTATATCCAGAAAAACAGCCGCATCTTGTCTAGGTTGCGGAACCTGCCATTCTGATTTGATCAACGGAACTCATGCTGGTGGATAGCAGCACATGTGAGGATAAGCTGGAGTCTGGGGTGCCGCGGTGAGAGAGAGGATACGCGGGGGAGGGATGATACGCTAGGGGGGCGGACGAGTAGAGCGAGGCGGGGTGGTGCAGCAGCTAAAGTTGCTCGGAGGGCCTGCCCGGGTGGTGAGGGAGGAGCTCATCAGTGAACTTTTGCACCCGATGGCCTTCAGATGACTTTTGAGTCGACTCAAAAGACAGCTAGAGTTGGTCCGAGGGCCTGCCCCCGGGTGGTGAGGGAGGAGCTCATCACTGAGCGCGTGCACCTGATGGCCTTCAGACTTACGTGCCTTGTTGCGCGACAGCCTGCCACACAGCACACACACGCACACGCATGCACACACACGCACGCGCGCACGAGCGCACACGCGCACACACAGACACACGCGCACGCACGCACGCACGCACTCGTACACTCACACACACAAACAACCCCCCCCCCCCCCCCACTCCCCCCTCCCCCTCCCCCTCTCCCCCCCCCCCCGCCCTCCCACACCCACACCCACCCACCATGCAGAAGGCGAGGACGCCCCCCACGGGCATGATGGCGAGGGTCCAGAGGGCGTGAGGCCACGTGTCAAAGTAGGGCAAGGAGGCGAGCGAGGACCACGGCTCGTGCAGCAGCAAGAAGATGCCGCACACAAGCGCCATCACGGGCGCGAGATACTGCAGCAACGTGAGCAGCGGGTTGGTCAGGCCTGTTGGGGTAGAGGGAGGGCGGACTTGCGGTTGGTGGGAGGCAAGGGGAACTAGGAGGACTGGGAAGGAGATAGTGGCATGAGGATGGCGTGACCATAGCAAATATGCGAGGAAGGGTGAGAAACCGGAGGATTGTGGCGTGTGGGAGAGCAAGCACAGCACACAGGCACTGTGGAGCTGGGGCTGCACCCGGCAATATGAGGTGAGTGAGGAGGAAGGGGCAACGCGACAGATGCTTACCATGTGTGTCCCTCTGTCACCAGTAGAAGCGACGACAGCGTGGTGAGATGGTGAGTAGATGTTGTGAACGTAAAGGGTAAACACGAGACGAAAAGAGTGGGTTAGTCGGTTGATGCAGCAGCACACATAGCAGCACAGCAGCACACAGTAGCACAGCAGCACACAGCAGCATACACAGCAGCAGTGAGCAGCGGCTTACCTGGAGGAGCACTTGCAGCAGCACCCATCGGAGACCCGCCATGAATGAGGCCAGCATGACGAAGATGAAGCCCAGCAGCTCAAACTCCGTCTCCCCCGCCACTGGGAGCACCACACGCCACTCGAGGGCACACCACACGGAATGTCAAAAGCGCGAATTAAGTCAAAGAACTCTGCTCGACGCCCATGTATAAATCAGGCGTTGCGTTGCAATGCTGATTGGGGGGTGGAGCGCACGGAAATGGTAGTGATACAAGAGGAAAACTGAGGCACGGTAGAAAAAAATGTTGGATGGTCATCGAATTACCCTCCCAGCCCCCTCCCCCTTCCGTTCTCCCTTCCGTTCCCCCTCGCCCCCCCCTCCCCACCCTATGCCGAGCACGCCGACGGAGATGATGAGCCTGGTGCCCACCCATGCTTCTACTCTATGCATCGCAACGTGCTGTGTGTGTGGAGCGCACCCAAGTTTGAGTGCCACACTGGACCTTTTCTGCAACGGATAAGATATCACAAACACTTTTGAGTACACCCACGCTTGAGCAAACCCCCGTAAGCGGATCATTTTGACCAAGGAGACTGCAGTGAATGAAGCGAATAAGATATCGCACAGTGACGACGAGGGAGAATAAGGGCAGGACAGCGTACCATGGAGTAGAAGGTGCGGGTGACGAGCGCGAGGGAGAAGCTGGAGAGGGCAATGTGAAGCGATGTGGCCACTGCTGTGGGTACCACTGCATGCACGGGGCAGAGCACACAGGGCACAGGCCAACACACGTTTAAACAAGTAAGCATCCATTAGAAAGCCGCCTGAACCGAACCAGCCTCAATGGACAAGTTGCAGAACGTGCATGCACGAGTTCCTGAGCGCGCCCATCCCCATTCTCAATCCCTCCCTCCCACCCACACGGCGAACCTCGCACGAAGTAGTCGTGCCAGGAGATGGGGGAGGCAGGCAGCCACGAGTGGCAGCAGAGGTGACTTTTGAGGCTACTCAAAAGTCAGTCGACTAGAAACACTTTTGAGTCAACTCATCAAGTTACCTCGCACCACGTGACCGATCAGCACCTTGTTGTACCTGCCCACCCACCCACGGCCACCACCGTCCCGCCACCCACCCACCCACCCATCCATTCACCACCGCCCCGCCCGTGCGTACATGCATGGCGATGCGATAGTGCAATGCATAGCGGGAGTGCACAGGTACAGCAGGGAGCGATAAAGGGTTGCTTGCAAGGGGAGATACGAACGGGCGAAAGGGCCCTTTAGATGGATGGCCAGCCCAGTGAGAAATTTGATCACGCACTGGGGGAGTGGCAACTACAGGGAGGGTGGCTACACAGAAAAAGCGACATGCTTACAGGGAGCGCGGCATGCTACAGCGCCATGCTTAGAGCAGCATGCTTACAGGGAGCGCGGCATGCTATAGCGCCATGCTTAGAGCAGCATGCTTACAGGGAGCGCGGCATGCTACAGCGCCATGCTTAGAGCAGCATGCTTACAGGGAGAGCGCCGTGCTGAAGGTGTGCCAGAGCAGCACGAGCAGCACCACCTTAACCGC